GCCCACACACACATCCTGTATGTGTGTACACACACACGCACACACCCACACACCCTGTACATGCTCGCGCACACACAAACACACATGCACCCCCTGTACGTACACACACAACTCCCTCTATGCACCTGCACACCCAGCTCGACACCCAACAAACCAATACTCCAGCTCAGCACGGGGACCCACCCCACCCTTCCTGCAGCCACACCCTGACACCCCCATTAGCACCACCCCAGTTTCTCTGGACCCAGGGCTTCCCAGGTGCCCGAGACCCAGCCCAGTGGATTCGGGCCAGTCCATGAGCTCTCTGGAGATGGGCCCCAGGTACGGGTGGAAGGGAAGGGATGAGCTGGGGTTTAGGTCTGGCTGCTCCTAGGGGCAGATCCTCCAGAGAGCTCGACACACCGGGAGTGGCTCCTTTGGCAAACCCGCCCCAGCTGCCAGCACGGAGCAGCTGGACATCCGGCCCCGAGCCTCTCGGTCGGAGCGGCTGGTACGTAGTGCTTGGGAAACCCTGGCTCTGGGCTGGAGAGAGAAGGCGCCGGACCCCCGCCCCACCCGGTGCCACGAGCCAGCAGAGCTCTCCTGGCTGCAGCACCGCTGCACGCCAGACGCGGGTCCGGCCCAAGGAGAGCAGCAGGGGATGGATGGAGGCACTGGAGAGAGAACACCCCATCCTGCCCCCACGCCTGGCAGCACTGGTGCGGTGGCAGGAGACGCTAGCGCACCGTCCCCGGGGCAGGGTGTGAGCGTGGCTCTGGGAAATGTCAATGGGGATATTTCTCCGGGGAGGGAGATCAAAAGCACCTCGCCCACCCTGCAGCTCCCCCTTTGTTTGGCTGTGCAGCCGGCTGCTTGTCCTGGTTCCAGATCGACTGGCAGGGCCCTGCCTGCAGCTAGAGAACAGGCCCATCTCTAGGTCAGAGCAACCAGATCGTCTCCGCCGAGCTCTGCCTGGCCCCACACACGGAGCCCATCACGGAACGCAGCAGCTTCCCAGCTCACGGGAGCCTGGGGATCAGTGCCACAGGCAGAGAACAGGAGGGATCCAGGGCACCAGCAATGGCAGGGCAGTGGGTCAGGGAGATGTCCCGCAATAATCCTGGCAAGGGACCCACACGCTGCAGAGGAAGGCAAAACTCCCCCAAGGGCCCTGCCAATCTGACCCCTGAAAATCCTCTCCTGCCAGCACCCAGGCTGACCCAGTAGGCCCTGGGCACATGACAAAAACCAGCCAAGCCCCTGAGAGAGAGAATGCGTGGTGCCACCTCAGAGCCCTGGCCCACCTCACCCAGCGTCCCAGCTCTAGGCCTGACACTTCAGAGGACGGAGATTGAAAAAAAACCCTCCCAGAATATACTGTGGGGGGGGAAGGAATTCCTTCCTGACCCTGCCAGTGGCCAATCAAAACCCTGAAGCATGAGCATTAGAAGATAAGATGTAAACCAGAGGTGAGCAGCAGGCTGCTGAGCGCTGCCCCCCACCATCCAAGCAACCCCTCGTACAATTGCATGCACAAATGTGTCCAAAAATCAAGGCCTGTGCACTGACCCCTTCCCCCCCGATGCTCATTACACGTTCCTTCCAGAGTGGTGCCAGCTGCGGAGCTGCAGCTGCACAAACAAAGGGGCCAATGCCACAGACTACACCAGCTCTGCTAGAAAACTCGGGTGGGGGGAGCCTGGGAACAGGAAACCAGCAAGGCCCGAGGGCTCTGGCAAGCAGCAGAGAGGCAGGATTCCGGAAAAGCTGTCCACGCGGCTGGCCCTGCAACGGCCGAGGGTGAAGCAAAGTGCAGCAGGTTTGTATGGAACGGGCACTCATGGGGCATCCCCGCTGGTCACTGAGAGACAGGAGAGACAGGCGCCGAGGGGCAAAGGCCCCCCAAGACTTGAAATGGGTGGGGGGGAAGTGCCGATGTAACAAATTAATGCAAAGCAACTCAGCAAGAGGGGCAGAGGAGCACAGTGCCAAGCAAACGCCGAGACAGCCAGCAGGGAACTGAGCCCCACGGCAAGGGGAGACACTGCAGCAGCCTCCCACAACTTGGCTCGGGGCGCGAGACAGAGACGCTTGGGCAGACGGTGTGATGGAAGTACAAAGAATGGGACTGTGGGGGAGAGGAGTGTGAATGGAAAGTCAGCGTGCGAGGGGTCCGGGGGCCCTGGTGTGCGAGTGTACGTGCACACACTCACTGGCAGGCCAGGCTCTGTGCGTGCATACGGCATGTTGCAGGAAACATGGGCGTGCAGTGTGTACACTGGGTGCCAGGTGCTGGGTGCGGGCGGGGGCAGGCTGCACACGGGTGTACGCTGAGAGCCCGCAGGCCCACAGCCAGGCTGAGCGAGTGGATTAGACGGAGCCAGGCCATGCAGGTTGCGCCGGTCGATCGCTGTATGGTCCCTGCGTGTGCCTCTTGGGGGAGCGACAAGAAACACAGTAAAAAGCAGGGGAGAGGGGCAGTTTGTTTGCACCCAGGCAAATTCAGCAGCAGTCTGAGGAAAGTCTCACCATAGTTCTGCCAGTGATTCTCAATCCCAACCCACAGCCGCCTGCTCATCCAGCCCCCCACAGCTTTGCCAGTGCCCCTCAATCCCGACCCCATGCAACAGCACATGCTGGCTAGAGGCTGATCTAACAGAGCACAAAGCATCAGCCCTGGCCCGAGGGCAAGGGGTGGCTGGTCTGAACCAGCCCATTTAGCACCACCCTCCCTGATGCTGCCCAATCCCACTACTGACACCAGTACCCATAAAGCACCGAGAGCAGCAGGGAGGGGCAGCCCAGAGCAGGCTGAGACCCCCGGTCCAGGTGGCTTGTGCAACACGGCACTTGATAAAGAGCGTTCCCAACCCCAGCAGTCCCATAGTCTGCCAGTGGGTATTGCCTGACATAAGCGAAGAGCCAGGCTCCCACCTTTATGTGAGTCTTGTGCGCCCAGCACCTTCCATTGTCAAACCCCACGGTTAGCACAGAAATGCCACGCTGAGCTGCAGGCTAGGATCCAGGGCACCTGGGTTTTATTCCCGGCTCTGATATCGATTCCCTGAACGCCCGGGGACAAGTCACCTTCCCCCTCTGTCAACAGGGAGACTGAAAATACCAAACCACCTGGACAAAGTGCTTTGAGATCCTCAGAGAACCTCAGAGAATCCCCAGCTTCGCCTGGCTGGGAGAGAGCAGCACTACCCTCGCAAAAGTGGAAGTGACTCTGGGATGCAGATTGGGAAGGGATCACTGGGCACCAGTGTGCTAATGCTCTGCGGGAACCCATCCAGTAACTCAACCCTACACAGCCTAATGCAGGGCTCCTCTTGATGGTAACAAACACACAGATCAAGGTCACAATCAGGTCAGAAACCCAGCATACACACCCATCAAGGAGCTGCACCACACGGAGACAAGGAGCTTTCAAACGCTCCCTTCCCCAGTGGTCCACGTGCCACATTCCCCCGTAATTCTTGCCAGCTGTGGGAGCCCAGCTGGGCACACTGCAGCTCTGTAGGACAAGGAAAGGCCTGACGGAACATTTCAGCCCATTCTCACACCCTGGAAATGTCTCTTCTCTGTCACGTTCCCCCTGCCAAGCCCAGCTCCACCAGCCCAGAACAGCTGTGTGCACTTCAGCGGGCATCGCTGGGGGCTGGACAAGGGAAGCCAGCCCTGGCCTGACACACAATGGGAAGCCAAGTGCTCCGATCTGCAGCAGGCCAGATTTCACTGGGCATTTGCCCTCCTTATTGTGCAGGGAGGAGGTGGTTCCTGGCCAGCTCATGGAATCAGAGGGGAAGCAAGTCCTTTCACCTCTAGGCCACCGGTTTGAGTCCTGTCCAGAATTGTAGCCACAGAGCTTCCCTGGGGTGAAGTGAATTGGGGAACTCTCGCTTCAGCGGATCCAGAGCTGCCAATGAGTGAACGGGCCAGAGGTCTGGGACTCGCCTGGGCCCTGCAGAATGTCCTGAGCATTATAACCCTGCTGGCTCTCTATGGGTCCCCCTGGGCTCAGCAGATGCTGTCTGGGACCCACGTCCTGGCAGAGAGACCAGTAGTCAAAGTACCAGCCATGGGGGCCTTGTGCAAGCTGCCACCCGGTCTGCATGTGCCCATGCTAGGAACCCTCATCCTGTGCATGCCAGTGGTGGCATGGTAGCACTAGCGGCAGTGCATGCCTGGCATGGTGGGCACAGCTGGCTAGTCAGGACCAGCAAAGCCATCCCCAGCTCTGCTTGAAGGGTGCTAACTCACAGTGGTGCTACAGCGCCCCCTCTGGACCATCGGCTGCATGCAGAGCTGCTGGTTCTCACACCCCACTAGCCCATGGAGGCTGGGCTGGGCTGGAGCAACGCACCAGGGAAGTAGGGTCACTCTCCCCGGCCCCAGAACTCACCTTCCTGAGGCCTTGGGGCAGATTGAGCCTGGCAGTGTCACCTGCCCTAGGGGCTGTGGTGAGCCTTGGCACAGGCAGTGCCAGCAAGCGCCTAGATGCATTGTGTCTGAGGAGCAGTTGGTGCCAACGTGCCAGCACCCGCAGCACAGCTGGATTCCTGTCCCTAAGGCAACAAGCCCTTTCCACGCTGCACCCGGGACTGCGGTGGGTGGGACACCCCGGGGGTGGGGGTTCGCTTCCCCTGCCCATTGCGTGGGAGGGGGTAACATGGGTCCCCTGGGGAGCTCCAACCCCTGCAGCTTCAGGGGCTGTCGGCTGTGGGGAGCGCGGGGGAGGGGGGGTCAGGCAAATCCACCCACAGCCCAGCTCAGAGAACGGAGCCTGCGAACACCCCCAAATCCAAGCCCCGGCCTCTGCCCGCATCTCGGGGCGTGTCAGCCCAGCGGGCGAGCCGCACTGTCCGTGTGGGCAAAGACGGGAAACTAAGGCACGGGGAGGGGACGCGACTTGCCCGAAGCCGGGGGTTGGTAGAGCCGAGAAAGGGGACCCAGGAGTCCGGGCTCCCTCGGTCCCTGCGAGCAGCCGCCGGAGGGGCCGGGGCGGGGGGGTCTCTTACCGCAGCAGGCGCGGGAGGCTCCCGGGAGCACAGCCGGCGATGCCAAGCGGGGTCTCAGCAGCAGCGGCGGATTGGAGCCGAGCCGAGCCGTGCGCTCCCCGGCGCAGCCGCTGCGGCTCTGAGCCGAGCGAGGCAGAGCCGGCGCGTCACGTGAGCCAGCCCAGCCCAGCCCGGCGCGGCGCGGGCGCTGCCATTGGCGCGCGGGCCCTGCGCCCCCGGCCCCGCTGCCAGCCCCGGGCCACGGGCCACAGCCTCGCTCCGGGAGCCAGGCTCACCCGTCCGTGCACGGCCACGCCGGCTGCCCCTGCGTGCCCCGAGGCTACCCAGCCCGCCCCGGCGTCACAGGGCGGGCACTGGGCACTGGGCACTGGCTCGGGCCGATCGCTGTATGCATTGGCACGGGCCAGTCTGCCCTGGGAGCTGGTTCACACAGGGCCCCAGCACGGGCCAGGGTGCAGGCCACCAGAGTCCCACCGGTGGGATGACGCATAAAACCAAGGCCATTAAAATCCCCAGGCACCTTCCCCTAAAGCAAGCACCTGGGCCAAACCCAGCTCCCTCAATCCCCATTGCGTTCAGTTGGACACAGCGTCCCATATCCTGGGCAGTGCGTTGTGGGCGACTCGACATGTGCCCTGCTCTCACCCAGAGGCAGCTGCATTTCGGGGGTGGGGGCTCACACTCTGGCTCTCTCCGAGAGAGCAAAATCGTAGCAGGGAGAAGGGCCCTGATTCTATGAGGTGCTCAACACCCACTGCCATCAACAGGGAGAGGGCACTGAGCATCAGGCAGGCTGGGGAGGCTCCAGGTTGGAAAGATAAAGGCCCTGGCCCGTCTCAGGTCCCTGCTCTGCGTGACCTTGGGCAAATCATGTCACCTACGCTGAGTCTCTGACCAGGGGGTAGACCAGGGCCAGTGCTGCCATCGGGACCGCCTGGGGGCACAGGAGTGGGGGAGATGGCCGCTGGGGCCAGAGATAGAGATGCTAAGCTTTCAAACACCCCCCCCCCCCAATGGCTGGTGTGCTGGACCTCTCTGTGCTCTGGCCTCTGCTAGGCTGCCCTGCACACGGCGGGCTCCGACCCCCCTCCCCACAAGGGGTCCGGGCAGGGAAGGAGCTGTCAGCATTGGGCCAAAGGGGAGCTCCACTCTGGCACCTGTTGGAGGCAGGGAAAGGAGCTGCAGGCTGGCTGTGGGTGCCGCAGTGATGGCGGGGCCGGGGCATTGAGATGGCAGTGGGGGCTGGGCATCGAGAAGAGCAACAGTGTGCTCGGGAATGCTCAGAGGGGTCTAGCCTTCCATCAAGGGGGTAAGAAAGGAATGGCTAATTGTAGGAGTTCCCTTGAAAAGCAGCATGTAAACAGAACTGGGAGAGCAGGAAGCTGCGGGTCAGGATTGAGGGGCAGCAGCAGAGCTGGGGGGAGCCTAGCGCTGGGACAGCGGGGGGCTGCAGGTTGGGATCAAGGGGCAGCAGCAGAGCCATGGGGGGTGAAATATCTGCATTGCTGAGGACTCCAGAGTAGGGGTGCCCAGGGCCCCCAAACCCTCCACCAGGGCAGGTGCTTCGAAGTCATCTACAAGTTGCAAAGTAACATCCTGGGATGACTCAGCCTCGCACCAGCCATTTCAAAGGCAGGCGGGAGAAAGTGAAAGGGGCCGGCCTGTATCTGACGAACCCTCCGGGGCCTGGGGGTCAGCCATGACTGTGTGGGGAGAGGGCCCCCTACTGAAAACCAAGCGCCATCCTGCAGGGGCTTGGTTTCCCTTGGAGGTCCCCCATCCATGCCCTGAGCAGGAGCCCCCTAACTAATACAAGCAGCCCAGGGCATGTGGCTTTTGGTATCCGGCATGGGTAGGGTGACCATACGTTCCGTTTAGGCCAGGGCATAGGATGACCAGACAGCAAGTGTGAAAAATCGGGATGGGGGTGGGGAGTAATAGGATCCTGTATAAGAAAAAGACCCAAAAATTGGGACTGTCCCTATAAAATCGGGACACCTGGTCACCCTACCAGGACAGTCCCTTTTTAAGCCCTGTCCCAGCCATCCAATTTGATCAGTTGGCAAGAGCAAATGGGACAAATGCCCACTTTTGTCAAAAAAGTGTGGTGTGGTGTAGAGGAACGTGATGGAGGGAGGCGAGCGGAGATGCCAACCCCACGTGGTGTGGGAGGCAGCATTCCAGAAAGCAGGGGGCCGGTAGGGTTCCAGCGACTGGCAACAGCCTTGCGGGGCGGGGGGAGCTTTGGTGAATGGCTGAGTGTGTCCCATTTTCCCGCGAGGCTGTTGGGAGAGATGTTGAGGGGACATGGGCCCCACCCTTCCCCAAAGGGCATTGGGGTGAGCGGGGGAACTTGAGAAAAGGCCTCGCAGACACAACTGACCTGAGCGCCCCAAGTATTTGGAGAAACAGGAGTTGGGAAAGGCCAAGCACTGGGTCCCTCCAGGGGAAATAGGCCGGCCAGCTCGGGGAGGCAGGAAGCAGGATAGTTCCGGAAGCCGCTCAGCATGCCCCATTGAGCACAGAGGCTTGGGGAGGCTGATGCAGGAGGCAGGGTCCTAGGCCGCTGATCGGAGATGGGCTGTCAGTGGTTCTATCACAAGGCAGTTAGTCAATTAACCTAGAGGAGAGCCAGGGCTCAAGGAAGCCCTGTGGAAGATGAAGGAAGAAGCAGGTTGAGCCTGTAAAAAGGGATGAAGCCAATGATGAGCTCCCAAAATCCTAAGAACCGGTTCCCTACCGGGTCCTCAGCAGCACTTCGGCGGCAGGGGGGTCTTCACTCACTCTGGGTTTTCGGCGGCAGGTCCTTCACCCGGAGCGAGTGAAGGACCCACCGCCGAAGTGCCGCCAAAGACCCAGTAGGGAACCGTGCGGGGAGTACAAGCCCCACGTGCCTGTCTCCCCCCCCCGCCACCCACCCATCCGACCCCAACCCACGTCCTGCCCCCGACTGCCCCCCTCAGAACCCGCAACCCATTAACCCCCCCCTCCTTGTCCCCCTGACCACCCCCTCCCAAGACCCCCCACCCTAACTGCCCCCCAGGACCCCACCCCTTACCCAACGCGCCCCACTCCCTGTCCCCTGATTGCCCCAACCCCATCCACCACCACCCCAACAGACCCCCAAGACTCCCACGCCTCCCCAACCCCCCGTTCCCCGTCCCCTGACCACCTCCCCATAACCTCCGCTCCCTACCTCTTATCCAACCCCTCCTCCCAGCAGGGGCTGGAGCCCCAGGCCCTTTAAATTGCTACCAGAGCCCCACTGCTGGAGCCCTGGGGTAGCGGCAGCAGGGCTCTGGGGGATATTTAAAAAGTCCAGGGCTCCTGCTGCTTCGACTGCCCCAGCCCTTTAAATAGCCGCTGGAGCCCCGCCGCTTCCCTAGGGCTCCAGTGGCTATTTAAAGGACCAGGGCGGTAAAAGCAGGGAGGCCCGGGGCCCTTTAAATAGTCCCCAGAGCCCTGGGGTAGATGGGGCTCCAGCTGCCTCTGCCGCCCAGGTCCTTTAAATAGCCGCTGGAGCCCGCTGATTCCCCCAGGGCTCCGGCGGCTCTGCGAGGGGGGCTGGGGGAGCCTTGGCCTCCCCAGCTGGGAGCTCAGGCGGGCCAGACAGTTTGCTCACCCGCCCGCCCCTTTAGGAACCAGTTCTACACCGGCTTTTAAATTTAGCAACCGGTACTTGCAAACTGGTGCGAACCAGCTCCCGCTCACCACTGGATGAAGCTGAGACCAGAGGGGCCGGCCCTGGGAGAGGCTGAGAGCTGTGCCTGGAACTCGGGGTGTCTCGGGCTGCTGGAAATACCGGCTGGAAGTTATGGTGACAAGTTCCAGTGGATGAGGAACAGCTGCATATTAAGAAGAAGAAACATAGACGAGAAATATCTGTCTCTGACAAGGGAGCAGGCAGGACTGGCAAGGGAGTAAGGGAAAAGATCAGTAATTATCCAATCTCTCGCTGAAGCTGTTATTCCCTTGAAACCAGTGGCAGGGTTCAGTGAAGCGCGGTGTGATGGGTTGGATCGCAGAAACCCCCATGGGGCTGCCAACTGATGTGCCAAGACTACTTCTGCCCCTGCTTTCCCAGCTTGGGACTTCAGCGCCCTGCCTGGTTTGAGCCGGGCCCACTAGCCTGCTGCAAACCCAGACCCAGGTCTGAACCACGTCCCCTAACAGTTGTAGTCTTAATTGAAAGCAGGTTAAGAAGTACGCTTGGCACATCAATTGGCAGCCCCAAGGGGGTTTCTGTGATCCAACCCGTCACAGTGGCGTAGTCGGCAGGATCTGTGCACAGCTGATTGCTTTGAGATACCGGTAGTGATTTTAAGTGAGTTTTAAGTGTGGTGGCTGGAGAACAGACAAAGTGGTTACTGGTTTGTTATTTTCTGTTTGGTTTGCTGGTTCGGGTAAGGGCAATAGGTACAGAAAAGGAAGCAAAATAAGTAAGAGTGACGATCAGAAAAATCTAGAAATACACAAGTTGCAAATTGCCCAGAAAGGCTGAACACTGGGTCCTGGGAAAGTCTCTGTTACCTAAGAAGCCCCTGAGCTTAGTGCATCTCAGTTTCAGTGAAATGCAGATGGGTGTGGCCCGACCAGCTGAAGCTGACTGGAGTGTCTAACTTAGCAAGACAGGAGTGGAGGGGTGCCTGTTCTGGCAGGAGGGGCTTCTCTGTGGTATCCCAGCTCATCGAGCAGTCTCAAGGGAAAACAAATGGAAATTGATGTGCAATTTGCCCAGGAAAAGACTACCCTGGAAAAAGAAAAGGCTGCCCACCAGCAAACCCTGGACTTAAAAGACAAAGCAAATTGACACCCAGAAGCACGAACTGGCTGTAATGGAGTGGAAGAGGTGCACAGAGACATGTATCATAGAATCATAGAATATCAGGGTTGGAAGGGACCTAAGGAGGTCATCTAGTCCAACCCCCTGCTCAAAGCAGGACCAATCCCAACTACATCATCCCAGCCAGGGGTTTGTCAAGCCGGGTCTTAAAAACTTCTAAAGATGGAGATTCCACCACCTCCCTTGATAACCCATTCCAGTGCTTCACCACCCTCCTAGTGAAAAAGTTTTTCCTAATATCCAACCTAGACCTCCCCCACTGCAA